TAAAGTGTTTATCTCTCTCTCTCTCTCTCTCTCTCTCTCTCTCTCTCTCTCTCTCTCTCTCTCTCTCTCTCTCTCTCTCTCTCTTTCTCTCTCATGGTCGACGTAAAATTATTTTATTTGCTTAGAAGTAAACTTAAAATATTTGTAAGCTTCTTTTCTGAATGATTGTTTCATATTATGTATTTATAAATTACATTTACACACAGATTAAAAAAATATAATATAATGCATGCACAAACACTTCATTTGAAAAACAATATTGACATTGTTATTATCGTGAGTGTGAGTTTCGGTGAGTTTCTTTAAAAAAGCACATAGCGCTGAAAGACATCAATGCCTCAACAATGGGCTCTTCTTCTGAAGGTAGTAAGAGGTCCTGAACTCTTTTAGGTCAATATACATCATGACCTTTTCTTTACTTTAGATTAGATTAGAGGAATGTTTTTTTAAGAGATACTATTTTGTTTATATATATGTTATTTATAAAAATGACTCCAAAATATTATCATCTCAGAAAGTTCATTTTTAATTGGTATTTGATGGTTTCCTTTAGCCAAACCAAAACTATTACAAACTTAAAATGAGGATTATTATTAGTCCATAGTTGATTTTTGGTCAGAGTCAGAGATGACAAAAAATTAATTATATTAACATTTATTAATCAGTATTTTAATGATTTTATCAAATTGTAAACATTTTCTGTACCTATTTTGTTGTTGTTGTAAACTATTATAATACATGTGACATTTTTGCTTCTCTGTCTCTATCTCTAGGTCTATACATTTTGTTTTTGTGCATGATCATTTTTTGCTATTGTTGCCAAATTACCTTCAATGGGAATCGATACGGGTTAGGCCAAGACTTCAGCGCCAATCCATTGACCATGAATGTGATTCAGTGATGATGATGTCGCACAAAGTAAAGACTTTCATTTCATATGGCTTTTCCTAAATTGTTAGAATTCAATGTCTTGTTCTAGTTGAATTTACTCTAATCAAGATTTTGTAATGTTTCTTTGTTAGTTCTTCTCATAAGGCAAGTCTTTTTGATCGAGAGAATGTTAAAAAGTGCAGGTGGCAGCTGCTTTTTCTTATATTGTAGGACAGGCCTCTAGAAGTCAGGAACACAGATCTCTGATAATATAAGAAATGTCTTATTTATGAAATTATAATGCTCTTATAACATCAAGCCTTGAAACGTGCAAGAAAAAATGACTTTTTTGGGGTAAATTTTAAGTCAGAAAAAGCAGTTTCACCCCCATCAGGACAAAGTGTCGGTATGACTCTCTGTACTGTGCTTGTTTTTGTAGAGAGTAGAGCTCGAAATCAAGGGATGGCGCTATATTTCACTGTGTACTGATTCTGTATTTCCGTATCTCTTGTTACTTGAATTTGATTTTAATAATCATTTTTATGTAAGTTGGAAACTCTCAAAAGATTTGTTTATGTTTTTTCATCAGTAGTGTCAAATTGGGATTATGACTTTTAGTTTCATTTTTAGCATTAGTTGGAAAAGAGAGTGCACATGTATGGTATGTTCACTTACAAGTGTTTACTGTTGAGATCTGCATTATTATAACTATGACTTTGATTATTTCTTTATGTTTCCAGACCTCCCAGCTGCGACACCATTGCCAGTATGTTGTCTGAAACAAACATTGGTGATTACGAGATCATCAAAGGGGGGGTTCTTGGCACTGGAGCCTTTGCCACAGTGTGGAAAGGGCGAGCTAAAAAAGTAAGTCTTTCCATGTGGTGACAACTGTTGTACTAAAATAGTTTGGTGAAATATCAAGTTTGATGTGTCAGGGAAAAGTACAGAATTTTTACTATATTTAAAAGTCACCCCTAAGATCCTACACTGAAGGAGCTACATTTGGCTAAGATCCTGTTTTTCATCATAATTTAGTTATTTTTTTATTTTTGTAAGGAAAAAAAAAAGAATAAGAAACCTGGGTGCACTCAGCTGATCAACCGAGTAGCAAAAATGTGCGATCATTGTACGGCCCGTTGTGTCACGGATCATTCACTCTCATGAATGCGATCACACCTCAGTTGTTAATCTTGATAATCGGCAGTTACATTGTTTACCCGAGATGGGATCGCACCAAGGTGTAAACTTGTCGATGTCTTGCTTTACCCATTTCCCCAATCACCTAAGCCATCCGCCTGATCTTACATCACACACTAGGTGGGGAGGGCCTACTCAAGCGTCAAACTGCATTCTATCAAACTATGAACTCGTGGACGCTTACATTTTCCCTACCATCGCTCTCGTCTTTTAGTTTTGTGCTTTAACTTCCAAGACAGACTGGCGCCCGTACTCGTTGACTGTCCGATCACCTCTCTGCATAATGGGGTCATCTGTTGGCTGTGAACCTGCCTTTCTTTTTTTCAAAATTTTGGTTGGTGGGGTCACAACACAATGATTTATAATGCATCATGACATGGGTGGGGAACTCCGTTAGGGATGGAAAGCAATACATTTTTGGTGGGGGGGCATTGCTTGAAGCCAACTGGTTTCAACCTGACTCAGTATTTTTTTAAAAGCCCCACCCCCCGCCCCCAAACAAAAAAAAAAGAAGAAAAAACTGACTTTTGAAAAGAACTTTTAGTGCCCAGGAGTCACGTCAGTTCATTTAAAGTAAGGGAAGATCATTGTACAGATTATGGGCCTGACAATGAGTTACTGTGTATTTTCCCACCCTGGCCATTCGGCTAAGATCCCGGTTCGCGTAAGATCCCGCTTTTTCCTTTCTCCCGAGCACCATGATCTTAGACAGAGACTACTATAATAACAACTGTTTACAACCTCTTCAAAATAAAAAAGAAAGTTCAGTTTAAAGTAGAACACAAAACTCGAGTAAAAGGATAGTGTCTTTTCTTTTAGAAAAGTTGTGAAACAGTTACAACAATGTTTTATAGATATATATATATATATGCTGTGACTTCTTTGATCGTGTAGTAAAATTGAAGAATGTACAGATTTCTTCTCTGCCTCTCTTTTTTCATTTTTCTTTCTCTTGGGATTATTCTGTCTTATTTCATTTTTTTTTCTCTTGTGATTATTCTGTCTTATTTCATTTTTTTTTCTCCTTCTCCCTCTTGCTTGAACTTGCCGTGTGGGTGTAAGCTACACATAAGTATGCTTTGTGATTGAATAGATATAGAGGCGTTCAGGGGCCTTATCGAACATTCATTTTGGTTGTCAAATCTCTTCTTTTCTATTTTTGCTTTTAAAAGTGTTGACTTGCCCCACCCTACCTCTTGATGTTATTATCTGATGTTAATTGCAGTTTATAAGTTCATGTTAACTAAGAGTGCTGTCACTGGCAAACCTGCAGTCTCTGCTTTTGTTTGGGAAACAGCAGTGTATTTCTGAAGAATACGCATGATGGAGATGCAGTCTGTTGAGAACTCCCACGCTTTTGCGTTACTGGATTACATTAAGCCTCAGGTATCGCCGCCTCCCTTACCCCCAAATCTTCCAACACCTGGCATACACGCAGGTGAAAATGACGTTGTTGCATTGCAGACGGTTTCGTCAGGTTCCATTTTTAAACTCTTTAGAAGAGAAAATTGACCCGCGGGAACCGCGAACGTCTTTTGTTGTCAGACTGCATGGTTCACAACGTGACGGCTCGTGAATTCGTGGAGATTTATACATTCCCCTGTAAGACTGTCCACCGCGCGAAAAAGGCCTTTCCTTTCGTAACTATTATATCTCTGACTCAGATCCTTTTATTGCAGATGTCCCTCTGGAAAAGGGTAGATTGTAAAAATTGTCAGTTCTTTTTGGCACTTACGAACGGTTCAAATTGTGGTTGCTGTACAACGGGTTTACTTTATCGTCAATGAGTGATGGATGTGAAATTATTTCGTAACTTTTTTGTTATTGTTTGGCAGTCAAGGTTGGGCGTCGTCATCTCCTTGGCTCGTCCTCCTTTGATAGAAATCTGGGTCAGGTCAAAGCGGACTAGCCAATCAGGAGGCCGTTTGCTGTTAAGCCGTAGCAGCTGTGTCGTGTTGTGTGTTGTGGTGTGTGCGCATTCAGTCGGAACCGTTTCCGAGGCCCCATGCGGCACGACACAACACGACAAAGAACAAGTGTCCTGATTGGTTGATCCACACCCCGACTGATTGCTTAGGAATGTCCTGTTGTCAGTCATGCTGGGCTCTTTCTTCACCACCCCCGAACAACAAACAAAATAACACACACACACACACACACACACACACACACACACA